ACTGTGCTGCACCCTCGCCGGGTCTACAGAAGGAACCTCATTGGTGATTCTCAGGAGTTCCATCAGCCGGTTAGATCTGAATGGGGCCGCCTGGGAGAGGTTCTCCTTGTTGAGTGACAGGAGGGGGGTCATGTGATCATATATATATATATATCCAGAATGTTCTGTATGTTCCTCTCTCTTCTGTTTCAGGGGTCCGAAGTTCCAGCTACTGGCCCACACCAAGCTGACTCTGGCCAATGTCCAAGATGGCTTCCGCACACACGACCTCACCATGAGCAGTTCAGGTACATTGCAGACTTCAGTGACCCTACAATACATTTTATGTACCTTCCCTTGTGGGGAATGATGAGAGCGCCCTGATGTGGGGAATGATGAGAGTGGTAGGTAGTTGGGGAATGATGAGAGCGCCCTGATGTGGGGAATGATGAGAGTGGTAGGTAGTTGGGGAATGATGAGAGTGGTGGGTAGTTGGGGAATGATGAGAGCGCCCTCCTTGTGGGGAATAATGAGAGTGGTAGGTAGTTGGGGAATGATGAGAGTGGTAGGTAGTTGGGGAATGATGAGAGCGCCCTCTTGTGGGGAATGATGAGAGTGGTGGGTAGTTGGGGAATGATGAGAGTTGTGGGATTTTTGGGAATGATGAGAGCGCCCTCTTGTGGGGAATGATGAGAGTGGTAGGTAGTTGGGGAATGATGAGAGCGCCCTCTTGTGGGGAATGATGAGAGTGGTGGGTAGTTGGGGAATGATGAGAGTTGTGGGATTTTTAGGAATGATGAGAGCGCCCTCTTGTGGGGAATGATGAGAGTGGTAGGTAGTTGGGGAATGATGAGAGCGCCCTCTTGTGGGGAATGATGAGAGTGGTGGGTAGTTGGGGAATGATGAGAGCGCCCTCTTGTGGGGAATGATGAGAGTGGTGGGTAGTTGGGGAATGATGAGAGCGCCCTCTTGTGGGGAATGATGAGAGTGGTGGGTATTTGGGGAATGATGAGAGCGCCCTCTTGTGGGGAATGATGAGAGTGGTGGGTAGTTGGGGAATGATGAGAGCGCCCTCTTGTGGGAAATGATGAGAGTGGTGGGTAGTTGGGGAATGACTAGAGCAGTGATGGTGAACCTTTTTGAGCCCGAGTGCCCAAACTGGATCACTACACCAACTCATGTACCTCAAAGTGCCAACCCTACAATTGCAGACTCTACGGGCTCTCAGGGGCACTGTGTGGCGTCTCAGGTGGTCTATAAGGGCTCTAAGGTGGTCCGTAGGGGCTCTTATGGGGGCTGTGTGGTTCTAAGGTGGACTCTGCAGGCTCTAAGGGGGGCTATGCAACTCTCAGGTGGGCTCTGAGGTGGTCTGTATCGATTCTCAGGGGGGCTGTGTGGCTCTTAGTTGGTCTGTATGGGCCCTGAGGGGTGCTGTGTGTGCTCTACGAATGAGGAAAGCACCCTCTTGTGGGGGAGTGAGGAGAGTGATGAGTATATGGGGAGTGACGAGAGCGCCCTCTTGTGGGGAACGATGAGCATGATGGTTATTTTTGGAATGATGAAGGTCGCCATCTTGTGGGGGATTTTGGTACTGCTCATGCACGGCTGTATACTGTAGCCGGGTGTATATAGTATACAGCATACATATGACAGATGTTCTCTCTGTGTTCCTATCGTAGACGAGAGCTCGTGTTGGCTGCCGCTGTACGGGAGCGTGTGCTGCCGCCTGACCGCGCAGCCCGACTGTATGAACCAAGACATGATATCCGGGTACCTGCAGATCCAGGTGAGAATCGGAATTCAGCCCAGATCGTCACTTCATAGAAAAGAGTGCTGGGCTTGCTTATTAGAGAGAGCCCAGCACTGCTTGATCTGACGCACGCCCGCGTGAAATGTTATAATAGGAATACAAATGATACAAAAGGTATAAAATGTATCAAAGTTCAGTGTAGATTCTCTGTATCTCCTCCTTCACAAGGATGCCGTCCCCCTCCCCCTCCGTTCCCCTATTAGTAGAGGGTTCTCCATCTTCCTGCCTGGCTCCGGGGTCCCCTCATTATTGGGGATCCCTTTTCCCGGGGGGGGGGGATACATTGTAACATTCCAGTCCCCGTGCTCTGATTGGCTCACTTTCCCATTGCTGTGGAAACATTATGCGGCGCACACGTGTGGCTTATGTATGTGTCATGTTGATCCCCGCAGGCGCGGGGACAGACGGGCTGGAAGCGCATGTACTGCGTGTTGCGAGGATGCCGCCTGCTGTGTTACACGCAGCCCTGCGAGAAAGGGTCGGCACCAGAACCAGAACTCACCGTCTCGGTCAATAAGGTCAGAGGTCGCATATGGCAC